TTATATGCCTTATTTTAGTTTTAGTCAGTTTGTGCTTTTGTTTAGAAAATTTAACAATACATTTTGGTATGCTAAAGTGTTAGTGATTAGCAGCAGATAGCCAATATTTTCCTATTTTTTTTTCTGTTAATGCCATTTATCGAAAAATTGACCTGGACATCTGTTTTCATTTCTAGTGATGCTTTTAAATTCCTTGATGGTTGAGTGCCAATTCTAAAACTGGATTGGATTTCAAGGAAAGACAATTGCCTCAGAAACAAAGAAACTGAGAGAAGTGAGAGGAAAAACTCCTGCCTTCAAGCTTTCCCAGTATAAGCACTGTTGATGATAGAGGCCAAAGGTTAGTTCAATAGCACAGGCAGTCAATGGTGTGTGCCCAGCAATCTAACTACAACATAGCTATACGCAATCCGAGTAAATACTCATGTCCAGGCCAGAAACTCCTAGTAAAAGGAGTTAGTATGACCACAGAACTAATTGATGCTACCTAAGGCCACCTAAGACACAACCGTCCCATTAATACAACCACACAATTGTAAAGAACACTGTCTTTGATTACGTGTGAAACTTGGAAGCAGAGCACATACTGAAATTGGGCTTGCAGGTAAATATTCTAGACTTAATTTCACATCACAAACTCAAAAATGCCAAAACCTGGATGTGGAAATCATTTGTGAACTATTTCCAGACTCCATAAAGCAGACATGAAGAATTAGGTCCACACACAAACACACCAACAAATACCTATGATTTTTCAATTTTGCTTTGCCCGTATCCCCTACGTTTTGTGAAAGGATTTACCTGCTGCATTCCCAATCTTATTTAGTACTGCCTTATAATTTGGTGGAAAAAATGCACATATTTGACAATTTTTTTACTTCCTTCACGTGTAGATTTCCATGAAAATTAAGTTAAAGTGGAATTGAGAAAAGAGGCACAGTATAATTAACTTTCTTCTAAACTTATCACTAAACTTACTTATCTGATCTACTTAATTTGACTTTAATTCTTTTATTTCTAGAGCCCAAGGTCCCAAGATTGTTTTCAAAATTAGTACATGTAAATATTTTCTTGTATCAAAATCCTACCCAGTGGATATGTTTTACTACCAAAGAATATTCAGAAATTACTTATCTGCTCTCATGCCAACAGCAATGCTTAAAGCAAGTTGGACGTGATCTCTGTGTACAAACACCAGGCATTCACAGAGAACAGCAAGCTGCTGGAATCTGAGGATTTAAAGGAAAAAAAAAAGGAACATTCCATTCTGTTATGTTTCCTCATCTTCTTTCTTTATTCTATGGCTCCAAATCTCTTAGGAAGTCACCCAATGCCACAATTCTTTATCCAAAAAGAGAACCAAATATTAATATGGAATGAAAACCAACGTTTTAACATTCTGGTAGACAAAAATTGGTACAAATGAAATAGGGTAGATCAGTAAATTCTAAGACAGAAGATTTGAGTATAGTATTTAGTTTCCTGAAGTCGGTTGATAAGGCCTGGGGCACAAAAACTCTCGTGTTTACATGCATATAACAGAAATTTTAAGCTGCAGAGTACTGCCAGCAAGTTGGTATGTCTGCTGTGAAGCAATAATGATTCTGTGATAACCTCTATTAAAACCTTGACAGTCAGTATTGTTACTCTATTAGAAACCCAGAAAGTTACTGCAAGAAATAGACTAAGGTTTTCAGTAGCGTAGTTTAGCCTGTCAGAACAGAAAGAGAGAAAGAGAGAAAGAAAGAGAGGGAGGGAGGGAGGGAGGGGAGCAAAGGCAAAATTCACAGTAAATTCTCTTGGATTAAAGTTAACACATCAATTCCTAGCCATTAAAAAAAAACTGTAAGATAGAAAAAAGCTACTCAAATTACATCTTTTGGAATTCAATTATTATAAAATTGAATCTAGAAAAGTGTGGAGAAACGATAGCACAAAGATAAAAGTAGACAAACACGCAGAACGGAGTGAAGCAGGAGAGACACAGGGTATGTGGGTGGGTGCTCCAATTTGCAAAGGAATGCTATAAACAGGATAAAACAATGGGTATTGAGCATTGTGTTTGACAGATTGACACTTAGAGAAAAAGGAACTGTTAAGAACCACACGGCTGGCTTGGTTCTAACAGTCTTTGAAAGAAGGCCACTTTAGTCTACCTAAAAATAGCTTGGTAGTGATATACAACCTTTTTTTAGCAGAGGAGCCATTTTTTTCATTTGTTACCCCAAGATTCATGCTGTTTCACCTAAAATCCTCCTGGAAGCTTCTGAGGCAGCTTCTCATAACCTTTAGACTCTACTGGCCAGCTCAAAAACCACAGTGGCAGTAAATTCTTTCAGAGTCAACAGACCCAAATATAATTTGGGGGAAGGAGGGCAGAGCCTCGAAAACATACCTCGGGTCTAGCTGTGTCTGACCTCAGCGCGGCCACCTCGGGGCTCGGTCCTCGTTCCAGCCCCTGTTCACTCTTTTGCTCCCCGCGTGAGCTGTGCAAACGACCTCTCAGCCGATGACTCTGATGTTCTTTGTTCTGTGATGTCCAGCAGCTCGGACCAAACACTGCCGAGTCAGCCTCACACTCATACTCAACATGGAGAGAAGGTCGGTGGGCTTTAGCTTCCAGACTCCTCTAGAAACGATCCCTTGTCGCCACCTCCGGGCACAATCCCCGCGGGGGCCCGGTCTGCCATCCTCACCACAGCCTCCTGGCTGGCCCCTCCGCCCTGCATAGTATCCTAGGAACATCAGCCGGAGTGGTCCTTACACGGAGGGGTAACTGCTTCACTCCTCTACTCCAAACCATCCCGCGATCCTCCGCTTCACCGGAGGAAGAGCCAAGGTCCTCGCAATGGCCTTGAGGTTGCGGCTGCCCTGATGTGCTGCGCAGACCCCTCAGGAGGACTCATCGCCTCCACGCGGGCAGCGCTGCTGGCCAGCGGCCCTGGGCTGTCAACGTCCGCGGGCATCGCCTCACCCCACCCCCGGCGTAAGTCACCTCGCCCAAGGTCACAGCCTTCCAGGGCCACCCGCGTCCAGTGACTGAGCGACACGGGTTATCAAGGCTCAGCAGTCTCAGCGCCCCCCGTCCCCGCCCCCAGGTCCAGAGCCCCATGGGGGTGGGTCGGCTGAGGCCGTGCACCGCAGCTCCACCTTTGCCCCGCTTCCTTCCGTCCCTTCCACAGGTCTTGATCCCCACGACACCCCCTAAAAATGGCCTGCACATCAAATGCCGCCTCCTGGCCTGCTTCCGGAGAACCCAGCCTGCCATGAAGGCCCCCTCCCGCCGCCGATACTGAAGCTTCCTAGCCTCCCCGCTCGCCCTGCTCCGAGCTCACTGGCCTCCGATGTTTCCTCCTGAGGACAGGTGGGCTCCGGCTTTAAGGTCCTGGCAGAGATGTTCCTTCTGCCTGGGACACACCTCCCCAGATACCTGCACAGCTGCTTCCCTCACCTCCTTCCAGCTTCGCTTAAATGTCACCTTCTAAATGAGCCTCCCTGACACCAGAGATAAAGATTCTAATCTTTTCCTGATGCATTTGCTTACCTTTCCAGGTACTGATTTCACTTGAAAGAAATGACTTCACTCACTTACAAAAGAGTTTGAAAATTACTGTTTTAAATACATAAAGGCAGAGCAAAGGTTAAAAAAAAAAAAAAAAACACGGGCTTTGGACTCAGAGCTGGGCCTGAGTGCCTAGCACTGCCACTCTGAAGCTGTGGGGCTCCACCCCTGGTGGCGTCGGCTCCTTTACCTGTGCAGTGGGGATACTGATATTACATATACTCTTAGAATGGTCGTGAGGATTAGTTGACTTTATGTACACAGCAGGCTGTGAAAACTATAAAGGGGCGTATAAATACTGGTAATTATTGAGAGATGACCCCAGGAACCGTGCATACCAAAAAACCCACTGAGAGTACATTTGCATCCTGGCTTAAGGTCAGAGTCCTAGGAAATAAACTTTTCAGCTCTGTTCAACCCTGAGTAGACTGAGAACTTCCAGCAAAGCAGAAAGGACTAGGCAAGTACCACCCCGAGGGCACAGAGCCTGCCTAGCCAACATCACCGAGAACCCAGAAGAGTTACCAACCGCTAGTCTTGTTACGTGATACAAAATCCTAATATTTTGCTCTTTTTGCACTGACTTTACTTACTTCAGACTTTATTCTGATCTCTAAGGTCCTTGTGAGAAAAAAAAAAAAGCACATAGGATTTCAAATATCTAGGTCTCTATATGTTTATCAGAAGAGCTTTAAACTTTAAAACCAGCCATATGTCTGGTTATTTGAGATTAGAGACTGAAATCTTTTCATGTGTATTTTTATACACATGAAAAGTTTTTATATTTATTTCTCTTTCTGTGATGCAGAATAACTGTACTTGGCCTAAAAATAAAACAATGACTCCTCCAAAATCTCAACTGCTTTTATGTTTTCTTCCATTCATTTTTCATTTACTGGAGTGAAATGTCCTTGCCTGTAACCTCGAATCCAGCAGCTTGACTGATTTCAGAGGGTGTGCTGGAGACCCACCCTGCCAAGCAGAGAAGACAGACCACCAATAATCTGGCACTAATGAAGCCACAATAATCTAACATTGACCATTACATTCTATGTCTGCCTATTCAGATTTATTTGTAGAGCCCACTGAGGTCCATTTCATTATTTTAAAGAGAGAGTCACATAAGCTTATGTTTAAAACATTTTAGACATACTATTATTAAAAACCATCATTCTACAGTTATACATTAACAATAATTGCACCATTTATTAAGATGATAATAATTATAAATGGTACTATAGAAAGATAAGGAAAGCAGACATTGTCCTAACCAATTACCACACAGAATGGCTTTGCCATCCTATACACCTGTGTGCTATATCTGGGAAAATCCCTGTCTGGGGCAAGGTGCGCACGCGTGCGTGTGTGTGTGTGTGTGTGTGTGTGTGTGTGTGTGTGCGCGCGCACGTGCCCCCTTGGGAAAGTCAGCTACATCAGATCATCCAGGTTCTTTGTTAAAGCAATAATAATCACTAGAAATTGCCTTCCCTTTCCAAGCCCTCCTCTGAGGATATCATGCACTCCTCCAATTTTTCTTCATAGCTTTATACAACTTAATATTCAGGCTAGGGAAACTGGACATCTCCTCCAGGTTAAACAACTCCTTAAATCTATCTACAAATTTATTTTCCTTCTCCAACCTGAATTTCATGACCCAGAAGATGACGGTGGTTTCTTTGCACAGATGGTCAAAGGTAATGAGGAGTTCTTCCAGAAATGGATGAGCATAGACAACATCAGCCGCCAGGATGTAGTCAAAGTTGCTGGAAGCCTTGGGAAAGTTCTTGTCTAAAGCTACACCCCAGGAGAGCTCTTTAACCTGAGGCAAATGCTTACATTTCATTTTGGTGTTTTGGGAAATATTATATTGCAGGTTTCCAAGTAACTCAGGTAAATCTGTGGCAGTCACGTGTGCACCTGGGAAACAAAGGACAGCAGGAAAAGTAACCTTCATGGGATAAGGTAAAGCAAGTAGTTTTCAAGCCACCATGCACTTTGCAATTCTGCACAAATGCTAACCTCATGTCAAGGACTGGTCAGTACACACAGGAGGGAAATCCCTTCAAAATGGATGCTAAGGCACCTTTATGCCTCCCCTTAAAAACAATTAGATTCCCCAGGCACTTCTGCACTCTGTTGCATTTTTCTGTTCTCCTGGTTTTTTGTCTGTCTTGTTTTGTTATTGTTGCTGTTATTTTCTATTTGTCTACTTAAAAAATCAAGAGAAAGGGAAATTCAAAGTATTTGGTACCCTCACTGGAACAATCAGATGTCACAATTGAAAGATGAAAGGGTTCTTCACTAAAAGAAGTCTGAGCCCCAGTCATGTGAGACCAAACAGGTGTATATAACACTGGGCATCCTATCGTTGACCAGGAAGTGCTCAAGTGTGAGAAATGGAGGGAGGAGAGAAGACTTTTCAATGTCATTACATGGAAAGTATCAGGACACCCATGTTCATGCCCACGTTTTCAGCTTGACCCCATTATAAGTCTGTCTCTTCCCATTAAGAGATGTTAAAACCTGGCTACAACCCACATATAATGCTCATACAACCAAAGATCATAGACACAGGACAGAATGCTCAGATGAAGAAGAGATAAACAATCCCCGAGGTAAAAGTGAATACTGGTGGTCATTGTCAGGAAGAAATCAGAAAGCAAAACCCAATAAAATTTGGCCCTTAAAGTGAACTTTGAGCAGTAGCAGAGCCTGAAAACAATGTGTAAATAAGCCTAGGATTGGCTGATTCTACATCATCAGACATGAAAGCAGAAATGGAAGGGAATCTAGTTCAGCCCAGACCAGTTTAGAGCCCGTTCTTCACCCAAGATGGCAAGTTTCTCTGGCCACTGACTGTATTTTCTGGAACATATTAAAATGGGAGGAAAATAAGCATTTCATTGGTAGAATCACAGAGATATGAATCTCTACATTCTAGTGGGGTAGGTGGGTCTATCATTTTTCACAAATCTTTTTAAAATCCCAAGATAAGGATTGACCCCCTCTGTCCCCCGACCCTGCCCATAGGAATAGAAACTATCTGACTATTAAGATCTTTGTGTCTAGAGAGGTAAATATCATCACCGACTAAACGAAGTTTCCACCTTTTGATATCTGTTTCAAGTTATGGGAGCAGACCAAAAGGATCAAACCATAATTTAAAAAGACACATGCACCCCAGTGTTCATTGCAGCACCATTTACAATAGCCAGGTCATGATAGCAACCTAGGTGTCCACTGACAGATGAATGGATAAAGAAGATGTGGTACACATGTACAATGTAATATTACTCAGCCATAAAAAGGAATGAAACCGGGTCATTTGTAGAGATGTGAATAGACCTAGAGTCTGTCATACAGAGTGAAGTAAGCAAGAAAGGGAAAAACAAATATCGTATATTAACACATGTATGTGGAATCTAGAAAAACGGTACAGGTGAACCTAGTTCCAGGTCAGGAATAGAGACACAGACGTAGAGAACAGACACGTGGACACAGTGGGGAAGGGGAGGGTGGGATGAATTGGGGGATTAGGTTTGACATAAATACACTACCATGTGTAAAATAAATAGTGGGAACCTGCACTATAGCACAGGGAGCTCAGCTCAGTGCTCTGTGGTGGGTGGGATGGGTGGGATGGGGGGCAGGGAGGTCCAAGAGGGAGAAGATATATGTATACATACAGCTGATTCACTTTGTTGTACAGCAGAAACTAACACATTGTAAAGCAATTATACTCCAATAAAAAAATATTCTTAATTATGAATGAACGACTTCCCAAAACACAAATTCTGCTCTTAAATGAGGAAGTCTTCAGGAATAAATCCAATGTGCCTCTGACACTGTCCATACTAAATGGAATGGTGACTTTAGAAAGCAATATCAAGACAGAGCAATCTAAAAGTTATATTTGGAGAGGACTTCAAGGGTCTTACATTTCCCCAGTGTTTAGAAAGTTGTAAACTGCTAAATCTTGAATTCCTCTCAAGATTTTAGAGTGGCAGGTGTACACTTCTGAAGATCAAGGAAATCAGGACAGATGTGGGCAGCACACATCAGAGAAGGCAGCTAAATTAAGGCCATGAAATAGATCACAGCAACAAAAAAGACTGAACTGAAGCAGGCTCAGGCATACATATAGACAATCACAATTTAGTTGGAAAAGAAGATGCTGGTGAAAGAACAAGGGATTGCAAACGAAAAATGGAAATAACTGAGAAAATTAATTGATGGACAAACGCCTAAACTTAGAAGCAGACGTGATTTCTCGTACTCTTTCTCTATTCTAACAGATGCTTTTTCATAAAAGCATAGGACTTCAAAACCCAAAAGGAATATACAAGTACATGGGAATGTTGAAATGGGGCTAAAATTTAAATAAAGATCGTCTTGAGTCCGCATAGTCAGCTCTGCCTATGCCTAGTATTTCACACGTCCTCCAGCAGTCAGGATGCTGGGGTGCACATCCCAGTTAGCCAGGATAAAAATCCAGCTTCCCAGAAAACCAAATGGGTGACTTTAACATCAGTTTCCTGATAAAGCCCATTCAACAAATTAAGGGGTTAAAAATATGCCCAGGTCATAGTAAACTGGATAGTAAAAGCAACTAATGATACAGGATCATGTAATTCTCTGATCCCACTCAATCAAAAACACCTGCTTACCAAGTAAACTCGCCACGATGGAGACTAACCCTGTTCCAGCTCCAATTTCAATCACATTTTTGTCAACCATGTTATACTGCTTTACATTTGTTTCCAGAAAATAGCATAGAACAAGGGCCTATGAAAATTCAAAAAAAGAAAAAAGTATTGCTTGGCAAGTAATCACAGAATGTAAAATTAAACTCTATTAGATAAATACCCCACGAACCCTATGATATGTATGTGAGCCCATGTGAGTGCATGTGTGCATCCATACACATCACTACAGAAAATTATCCACAGAAGTACATCCTTCAATAGGTTCAACACTTAGGATAGGAAAAGTCCTTGGGGATTGTTGGGGAGAAAAGAGAACTACGAACATAGAGTTCAGTTACTTAGGCTTGATTATCCTTAAAGGAAGCAACTTCTAATAACAGTCATTTTAAAGACGTGTGTGGGGCTTCTCTGGTGGCGCAGTGGTTAAGAATCCGCCTGCCAATGCAGGGGACACAGGTTCAAGCCCTGGTCCAGGAAGATCCCACATGCCGCGGAACAACTCAGCCCATGCGCCACAACTACTGAGCCTGCGCTCTAGAGCCCGTGAGCCACAACCACTGAGCCCGCGTGCCACAGCTACTGAAGCCCGCATGCCTAGAGCCCGCGCTCTACAACAAGAGAAGCCACCACAATGAGAAGGCCATGCACGGCAACGAAGAGTAGCCCCCGCTCACCACAACTAGAGAAAGCCTGCACACAGCAACAAAGACCCAACACAGCCAAAAATTAATAAATTTATAATAGAAAAAAAAAGAAGTGTGTGTTTGGGATTGAGGCAGACAGTGGGGGGAGGGGGTCTGCACCCTTCATAGGACAATTGATAAATAAGTGGTGGTCTTTTAGAATATTCTGCGTGTTGAGACTGAAACGGATTTCACTATAACTGTTTAACTCAAATGGAACCAGTTAAATGGGAAATTAAAATGTTTACTATTCTAAACTTCTGTGACTTATAGTCACAAAAAACTGAAGGTGTAAACTACACTCTTTATTAACACTACAAATCAGAAATAGAATTCATTGGTAAAAGCATCTTCCCTATTTCGTGATTTCTAAATTTTAGTGTTGTTTGAGGTCACAAAAGAGAACCGTGGAGCCTCCTTTCTCCTTCCAAACAGTACATAATAACGAACAACACTGGATGAGAACTCATTGAAATGCAACAAACTTTGTATGAATTCATACCGATGGCCAAACAACAGCACCGTAACAATCCATGGCTTCAGTAATCCGAATCTCATGACCAACGAAATGAAATCCCTCCCAGGAGATGGCTGTTACAAAAGTTGGAACAAAACACCTCTGCATGATCTCTGCAACCACTTTCCTGTCATCATCAGCTTCTCTGTTCTCTGAAAGGAGGGGAAAAAAAAAAAAACAAGGCAGTGGTTGTGGTACTAAACCATAGCGAAGGAGAACCTGATGGAGGTGCAGCATCTCTACTTATGCTAAGTTGCTTTTGAATAGGCACTGATTTTAGGTGCAACATAATAATAGTAAGGTAAGCTATTTGAAAATAACTCTTTAACAGAAGCTAATATTTCATACATCAGGATAGCAACATCCTTCTGATTTTCACTGAGATTGAAATCACCATTAGACATTTCTGCAATGCTATGTGAAATAAACAATAACTGGTAAACTTTTTTTAAAAGCAATGTATTTTAAAGGCTATCAATCTATTCACAGAGCAAAAGAAAGATTGGTGATGGAATCTAAGATCTCAACTATTCGTATTGGCTACACAGTGCGATTCCAGTTATTTGAATAATGGAATATTAGCAGATCTTTTATGACCTGCCTTTATCCAGACAAAAGACATTTGATACCACCCAACAATATACCCTTGTATTATTTTATTATTACTTATTTTATATTATTATTTGGTGACAACTCATGGCATCTTGACATCCACAATATCACGTATGTTTCATAAGCAACATCAACCACCAATTACTGAGCACATACTTCACAGACCAGACCACGGTAGATACGTATATAATATTTCTCGTAATTTTTGCAACAACTTGTGAGGTAGGCATTATTATTTGCACTTTTACAGATAATGAAACTAAGACTCAGAGGGCTTTGTCAGCTTGACCAAGCTCATGCAAATTGTAAATGAAGGAGCAAAAATTTGAGCTCCTTTTTGGTTGCTCCAAAGCCCCTCTCTGCACTATTAAAAAGCTATGATATAATTTTTTTAAATCCAGTTGTCTCTAAGAATTCAGAAACTAGTTATGGAGCAAGATACACATCTCTCTCTAAGCCTCCATTTCCCTGTTTGTAAAATGTGAAAGATAAAAAAACCTACATCAAATAGTGTTGGAAGATTTAAATGAGATGATGTATATAAAGTGCTTAGCACTTTGTTACATAGAGTTCAATAAATTATTATAATTATTGTCATTGTAACTGTTATATTTTGGTCATGAAACTAAATGATAAAATAAGATCACCACATAATCAAAAATATTGGATTGTGTGGTACTTGGTTGAAAATTCTATAGTTACTTGTAGAAGGAGTGAGTAGAATGGTGGTTACCAGGGGCAGGGGGTGGGGGAAATGTGGAGATGTAGGTCAAAGGGTACAAAGTTTGTAAGATGAATAAGTGCTGGCAATCTAATGTACAGCACCATGACCACAGTTAATAATAATGTGCTGTATACTTGAAATCTGCTAAAAGAGTAGATCTTAAATGTTCTCTCACACACACAAAAAAAATTAAAGAAAATGGTAACAATGTGATGTGGAGTCTACATGGAGGATAAATGATAGATAGAGGTATTTACCGCAGAATGGTGACATCACTGTGAACTGAGAAAGTAAGATTGTGACTCCAAAGAAGGGACTGGGAGCTTAAAGATGAAGAGGCATCTCTGAACAGCCCTAGTTGGGGAATAATCCAGAAAACAGATGAGGTTATACATTAGAACACTCTGGCACATTTTCCCATGTCTTCCTCCTTTTCTAGTCCCTTACTAGCTTCTCCTTGCAAGACAGGAGAAGCCATTCATCTGATTAGCAGCTTAAAATGTGGACTGGACCACGGTTTTTCCTAGTGTGAGGGGTAGCTGTGCCTTAAAATGTCAGCCCTCATGTGCTGATACCCCCTTTTCACCTCTCTTCATGAGGCAGGCTGAGCTGGGCAAAGTCCTGCCTCAGAGAGAACTTAACCAATAGAGTATCTAGGGCTGCAGTCCTTTATTTTCAAGTAGAATAGAATCATTGCTCACATCTAGATGATATGTTAAATGTCTGCCATTCTAAACACGTCTTTCAAAATTCTTGTACACACCTCAAGGCTGAAATTACATTCAGCAGTCCCAAATTCATACTTGCTGCTTTGAAATATTTTTTAGTACAAGATATAAAAGATGATATGAATAAATGGAGAGAGGCTCTATACACAAATGGGGTGACTTATACTATAAAAATGTCATATATATTCAATACAATATCAATCATAATTCCAGTTAGCTTTTTTTAATAAACTTGATATACTCACTCCAAAACTTAAATGGAAGAATAAACACCCATAAAGAGTTAACTTTGTAAAAGAAGAATAAGAAGTAGGAGAATATCTGCTTTATTAGATATTTAGGTATACCACAAAGCCATAGTAACAAAAACAGTATGGTATTGGTGCAAGAGATAAATGGACCAGTGGGCAAAATAGGGATCTCAGAGACAAACCCATGTAGATAGAGGGGGTGGGTTAGCTGCCACATTATATGGAGAAAAATAAAACTGGATCTCTACGTAAAATCTTTTATAAAGGCAGATTCCAGAGGGATTAAAGACCAAATGTAAGAGGAAAAAAAAATTTAATAGTATAAGACGATATCTTTGTGAAAGTAGGGAGGAGAGAAACTTCTTAAAATCTGCAATACCCAAAAGTGATGAATATTCTTATATCAAAAGTGAAGATTTCTATTCTGTGAATGAAGATTAAAAATGTGGATGAGATTAAAAGATGAGAAAAGATCTTCTACAATGTCTAAGACTGAAAAGAGATAATATCTCGAATATACAAGAAATCTGTATAACCTCCAAATTGACAAGGAGAAAGATAGTAACCACAATGAAAAATAAGCTAAGGAGATAAACTGGCAGATTACAGAAGACCAAACCAAAAAAGCCACAAAGCAACATGGAAATGTTCCAACTCACATACAGACAAATTAAAACAAGGTATCTCTTATACTCATTAAACTAACAAAAATTAGAAGCTGGACAGTGCTGAGTGATAGGGGGCTTGTGGGGATGGCAGAACCTCAGGTACCACTGGTGAGAATACAGAATGTTGCAGTCATTCTGGAGAGCAATCTAAGGTATTTTGTTAATCTAAGGTATTTTGTAGGACATTTTGTATAATGTCCTACAACCCAGCAATCCTGCCCCCACCCCCAAATTTTTACACAGGTCCTTAAGTGGATATGCATGAAAATATTTATCAAAGATACATATCAAACACACTAGAATGGTTGCCAGGAGGGTGGTGGAAAAGGAAAGGAAGTAGGAAATGCGTAAAAGAAGAATAGATGAATGGATGAATGAATGAATGAGACAAAATACAGACAGATATACATACGACAGTGGGGCCTTTCTGAGATGATGAACATGCACCATGTAAGTAAGTGAAGGCCTCAAGAGACTTTCCAATTTCTCCACGGCACTGAGGCAGGCACTGAGGCAAGAATGGGAGTGAGGGGTCTTGAGTCTCTGAGTCCTAAGGGAAGATGCAGTTGTCAAACTGTCCTATGACCTCCAATAACATCATTTCCTAGCATTCGAGGAATATAGTGGAAAGATGGAGGTAAATTAAGTTTGCCCTTGTTGGAAAATTCCTTCAGTGGCCACAATCCAGCAGGGACATTCAGCCAAGATGATTTCCGGTCCTAAATTCTTTGATCCCTTCACAGAGTCCTGTCTAGGATCCAGACAGAACCAAGCATTCTCCAAAGGACTCTAATCTCACTGCATGCCACAGAGGGGCCCCCCTCTACCACCCGCTCTATCACCACCACAAACACTGACCTTTGGCAGAGATGCAGAGAAAACAAAGAGATGAAAAATGGATAGTCTTCAGCAAGAGTCACCTCTTCTAATATACTTCACTATATTTCTCCTTAAACCATGGCATGTATTCACATTCACAGGAAGAGCTCTAAGAACCAAATAATATTGGTAATATGTTGTATTTGAACTTTAACTTTCACTTCCCTAGATTCACTTGCCTTGCTAAGATGCGGGGTGGAGGGGCAGCTTTTGCTCTGGAAGTTCTTTAGGGAAAAGCAGAGAACATTAATTGCTTCCTTGACCTTTAGCTGAGTGTGCCCTCTTGGGCCTCCTTGCAAACCCCTTGTAAATGCAGCACTTCTTTGACAAGTCACCTAACGTATCAGGGATTAATAGATGTTAGAGTACACTAAATCCCAGGAGCATCTCCTAAAGTTCCAATCATTGTTATAAAAACTTTGCGAGTGAATATCTACAGCTACCACACTGACAACTCTGACTTTGCACTTTCTTTTAGAGGTTAGTTGACCAGATCAGTGCTGCTGTCCCAACAACTACAGTGTAATAACAAATGATTCCTGTTTTTTCACTATCTTTCTAAATAAACAGAGCTAGTCATTTTTTTTTAAAGAATGACATCTTTACTTCTATATAGAAATGAGATTGTGAATATATTACATAATCAAAAATGACTTACACCCCTCCAAAATAATCTTCCAAGAGATTTCATGAAACAACAGTAACCACTATTAATTGCACAGACACTCTAAAAGAACACAATTCTATCCATTGTACATGGTCATTTGAAATTAGTCATACACCTAGGATGACCACATATCCTTTAGAAAATGTTATCAAGCTGAAGAAAATTTCACTGACAGTGTCTTCTCTTTGGCATTTAAAGACTATGTAACTACCACTCATTCCATAAGAAGAGACACTCATAAAAAATAGCATAATTTATAGCAGGAAACCAAAATATACTGAACTTGGCTACTTGAAATAATTTGTCTAGATGTAACACATTGGATTTTAAAAGCAAATGTACACACACAAACAATTATGTCCATCTTAAAACTTTGCTGTTTTTCAGCATTAACTTCTATTTAAAGATTTTGAGGTAAGAATTTTTTTTTGGCTGTGCCTCGCAGCTTGCAGGGTCTTAATTCCCCGACCAGGGATTGAACCCCGGCCCACCGCAGTGAAAGCACCGACTCCTAACCACCAGACCGCCAGGCAACTCCCTGAGGTAACAATTTTAACCATAGTTATTTATTTAAATCAAAAGACAAGTTTAGTGTTTTAGCAATATCACCACCCATTTCAAGG